AGAAAAACATCTCTTTCCCTAGACAAGAGAAGACAGCTCTTACTTTTGTCATCCACTTTGCCTCTTGGGTCTCTCTCGGAACCGTTTTCGTTTATGACCCATCAACTAACATATATCTTCTCTACTACATGAAATTAAGTATATACGTAATTACGTATATCATGAAATAAGGTAATAATATTTTTAATGTATACATGTAGTATATGTTTTAAGTAAGTTATCAAATTATTATATATGTTTCATTTGTCGGGGAAAATAAATATTTCTGTAAGAGCATGGACTATTTTGTTTGTAAACTATGCCGCAAATCATATCAGTATAACAAGGATTTGTGATTAAAAAAAGAATCAAGAATTCGTTATCTTGTGGTTTCTTTCCTGAATTGTAAGCAAAACCCTACAACCATCTCTTTCATCATTATCATCATTCTCCCTTCATCAAGTCTCCTCTCTCTCTCTCTCTCTCTCTCCGTACACACGTTATAAAACCGCTTACTCACGTTCCAAACCCTGTACTTTGAAAACACCCAAAAGAACGAAAATCATACAAACCCTCTTGAGATTAAAAAAAAAACAAACAAAAACCAAAAAAAAAAATCTCAATCTTCAAAAAAAAATATGAGAAAACCGGAGCATTCTACTGCCACTAACTTCAACAGCAACGAGATTAGCAGTAAGAAGATGAAGAAGGGACTCTGGTCACCAGAGGAAGACTCGAAGCTGATGCATTACATGTTGACAAACGGTCAGGGATGTTGGAGTGACGTGGCAAGAAACGCAGGGCTCCAAAGATGCGGGAAGAGCTGTCGCCTCCGTTGGATCAACTATCTCCGTCCCGACCTCAAGCGAGGCGCCTTCTCTCCTCAAGAAGAAGATCTCATCATTCGCTTGCATTCAGTACTCGGAAACAGGTAATACATATATACATACATACATACATATATATATATACACACACGTGATTTCTTTGTATGTAATAATAGATCTTTTTTTTATGGGAAGGTCGATTTGCTTTGATATACATGCATGCATACATAACTACCAGACCAATTTAGTGTCTATTATGTGTAAATATATGTATATAAACAGAGTTGAAGAATATAAATGGTTACTTTATTTGGAACCTTTTTTTTTTTTGCTTGCAGTTGCTTCATATGGTTTGCTTTCATTTATATGAAAAAGTAAACTCTTTGGTCCGGTAGAAATGGACGATAACCATTTGGATATATTATAGATTATATTATCTATATTTAACATTTCTTGTCTAGGAAGATATGAAATATTACACCATTAAATGTTTTGTAACCCTACAGTACTCGCATGTACTTGTGTGTGTGTGTGTATATATGTGCTATGTAAAGTATATAGAGAATTTCTGTGATGTAATTCAACGAAAAGGGTATTGTATTATATGGTTTTAATAGGGAAGATATGAATTTTTATTGATACGTACGATATAATAATTAGATTCAAAGGATTTAATGATTGTTTTGGAAGAAACAAGAGAGATTAGGAGACATTTGATAAGTTCGTTAGTCGTCGTGGGGGGTGATGTTGGAGTGCGTTGCATCTTCCGCTGATATTGACTTTTGTCCTTTTGTTTTTTTCCCTGTTTCTAAAGCTTCGTACATTTTTTGGAGTCTTAAACACTCAATAATATCATAATAAATCCTATCTTGTCTGAGTTAGGGTTTTGTTTTTGTTTACACCTAATTTTCACCAATATTTTAATTATAAAAAATGATTTTTTTTTATAACTGAAGTCTAATGAATTTAAGCTGTAAATGATTTTATAGTTATCATAATCTACATGTTATAGTATGAAACGAGTGTATGTTACTACATAAAACTGGACAAAATTATTCCTCTCTCTGTCTCTCTCTCTCTCTCTCTATATATATATATATAATTATTGTTCGATTTATTAACTCTATAATCATATTTTTGAGTTTCTAGAACTCCCATGCAGACCATGCACTGAAATATACAGTACGTGGTCTCAAACATTGGAAGTTATCGGCAACTCCTGTCCCCATGTCTACGTGTCTTTGTCTCGAAAAGGATATTTGTTATACTGAATATTTAATTAAATTTCACCACTTCAATTTCGTAGGTGGTCTCAAATAGCAGCTCGATTGCCCGGTCGAACGGACAACGAGATCAAGAACTTTTGGAACTCAACAATCAAGAAAAGACTCAAGAACACGTCGACGTCCCCATCACCAACCACGAGCGGTTCTCTGTCTTCGCCTTCGTCTTCCTCATCATTGGATCCCAATGACGTCATCGGAACCTTCATGTCGTCGTCATCATCTATGTCTTTGAGCCACATAACCAACTCTTTTCCCACGCTTCACCACCATGGCTTTAGCCTGTTGTCTAATGACGGTTTCGACCCTTGTGGTGATGGTTTCTACGGGGTTGACACAGGGGCACAAGTGGAATTTCACGTTCCTACTTTGGAGAACGTAGGATTCCAAGACACCAATGCTAACTGGTACAATGCAGATGTTACAAGTGACATTGGCTTTGTTGAGAACTATTTAGGCAACAATATCAACAAAGTAGAAGAGACAAACGAAGGAGGAAACCTTTGGAATGGTTTGGAGGGTACCAGAATGGAAGAATACTGCTGGGATCTTGAGGAGTTGATGAACAATACTTTTTGAGGATACAATAAGCATATATATATATATATATATATTTGATGTACCATTAATGACTGTATGTGAAATAGATTCTTTAATAAAAGGATACAATAAGCCATGCACGTATATATGTAAAAATCTTCTAGTTCAAAGTTCATTCATATCTTTGCATACACAATAGTATAATTTTCATTGTGTAAGATAGTGTTAGTATATCTACTGTTACATTGGTCTTTATATTAATAAAACAGATAAGGAAAATTACATAAATATGATAACAACCCATAATATAATTTATTTTTCCCAGAATAAACTAATCACTCGTTTAATTATCGTCTTCATGGGCCTTAAATTAGATAAATTGGATGGGCTTCTAAAGCCCAATTGTAAGGTTCTGTAACCCATCGGATAAATTCTTGTTTATCCCTAAATACATATTTGGTCTTCTCTCCCAGTTTTGTCAATGCTTAAGACTCTTTAAAAGTGTTTTTTTATTAGTTTTATTTATTTAAAAGGCACAATTATTTCCAAATATTTTTAATTTATTTTTAAAAAAAGGAGAAATGGAGAGTTTGAAAAATAGAAATAATTAATCTTAAAAAAGAAATAAAATGCAGTTAAAATAATAAACTATAAAAGACGATAAAAATACCTCTGAAAATTAAAAAAACAATGTGAGAAATTATTTTTTGAGCTAGTGAAGAAGGGATCTCTTATTTTAGTTGGCACTTGTGATCTATACATTTGTATGAACAATTATATATAGATCTAATATGACAATTTCTTATCAATTTTTTTTAAAAAAAGTTCATTTCCATTTTATTTAAATGCTTCAATATTAAAAAGTGATCTACACAATTCAGAATAGATGGATAAAAATGATTATTTGGAGCTGGTTGGTATAAATATTAATATCGGAAATACAACAATAAAATCTCGCAGATAATCAATATATAAAGTTAACTGATTTTATATCAATTTAGTCTAAAATCAATACGAGCGACTTACAAGTTAATTCATAACCCTATAAGAAGGGGCTTGAATATAAATTACGCACCAAACAATAAATCATTGCTTAAATATCATTATCATAAACAAATATCCATAAAAAAAATTATATCTTGATATCCTTATCTTATTTTCATATGCCAGATTGAAGAGATAAATTTTTTTGTTCGGAAACTTTTCTCTATTTTAATAGTTACTTCTCGATATAATATCGTGACATTTTTAATCGAATTGGTGTACGAGAGATTCTGTCTTAAAAAATAAAATAAAATAAAATAACAATTAAAAAAAAAGAGTGAATAAGTTGAGAAGTAATTAAAGGATCGACTCGCTGCGATCTGTTTTTTTTTTTTTACGATAAAAAGAACTTGACCCTATTTAGATGGTAATGAGAATCAAATTAAAAAAATTAAAAAATATTAGAAAATAATTTAAAATAAAAAATAAAAAATACTAATAAAAAATATATATATTCACTGATTGAATCTCCGAGCTGGTTGGTGAATCCGTTTTTATTTAATCAGATAAAAAAATTTTGAATCGAAAATGGGTTAGCTCGAGAATCCAGCCCACGTCATATGGCGTTGCCTCCTTGGTCCACTCTATCCACGTGTCACGTGTTCCAGCCTATCACTTGCATGTCACGTGGACCCATATTTCGCCCTTTTCCAAATTTCAAACCAACACCAATTTTTTTTTATTTTTTAATATATAGGTGTTGAATGAGAGGTGGATTTCGGAGTTTTTGGATTTCAAAAAGTGAAAAAACCGACCATCAAATTTTTTGAAATTTGGTTTTCCTAAAAATCCGGAAATCTACTTTATGAAAAAAATCAACTAAAAACTAAAAGCCATTTTTTTTAGATTAAGGTGTTGAATGGATGGAGTTTTTATTTTGAGTTTTTGGATTTAGTTTTTGGTTTTTAGATTTTAGTTTTTGATTTTTGGCTTTTGGTTTTTATAGATTTGTAAATCCAAAAAAATATAGCTTTTAGTTTTTAGTTCAATTTTTTCTATAAAGTGGTTTTCTGGTTTATAGGAAAACCAAACTTGATTGATAATTTTTTGAGTTTTTAAAATCCAAAAATTCTCAAAACCCTTTGGCATTCAAATAAAAACCAATATCATTCAAAGCCATACATTTAATTTTCCATCGCAACTTCGGTGTTGAATGACAAAGGGTTTTGGGAGTTTTTGGATTTTAAAAACTCAAAAAATTATCAATCAAGTTTTTAAAATTTGGTTTTCCTAAAAACCAAGAAAACCACTTTATGGAAAGAATTGAACTAAAAACTAAAAGCTATATTTTTTTAGATTTACAAATCTATAAAAACCAAAAGCCAAAAACCAAAAACTAAAATCTAAAAATCAAAAACTAAATCCAAAAACTCAAAATAAAAACCCCATCCATTCAACAATTGAACACAAGACCCCCAAGATCCGTATGTGCTGGCATCCTCCAAAAATCGACACGTGTTCCGGAAGTTGTTGATCTTATCAATTCTCTCGATGTTTTGAGTTTCGAAACAACTCAAAATCCAAATTCCCAAAATCTAGGGTTATGCTCCTGTCCGTTTTTGTTTCTTTTCTTATTTCACTAAGTAAGATTGCTTCCAGCCTGTGAGTCGTGTCCCAATCGCTTTTCTTTTACGAGCTTTTTTGCGTTGGTTTCCATTCGGTTTCTATATTGGTTCTGTTTTTGTTTTTAATTTCTTGGAATTCGTGATTGTTGTGTTTTTAGGGTTTCGGGACGTTTTGAGGCCTAAAACTTATTGCAGTTGAGGGGCTTTTCCGGTGAGTTCCGTCGGGTATGTTGATTTCTTTTCATGGCTTCTCTTTGCTTTTTTGAATTTTCTTTTCTGGGATTCTAGAAGGAGCTAGAATTATGATTCCGGTGCCAAATAGTTTGCTTGCCAGGAGAAGGTCTAAGGTTTATGAGAGATTATAAATTATGAGATTTTTGAGTTGTGGGTTTTGTATGAATATGGAATCGCATTGTTGCGTCGGTAAATAGTTCTTGTAATTGCTTCTTGGGGGAACCCAGAAGATGCCTTTTTCTGTAGTTTAGGAGAGAATTCTTTTGGTTTGGTGAGCAGTCACTGTTCTGTTCCTTTAATTATATAATTTCAATGGCTGGATCAAGGTATTTTGAAGAGATGCAACCGAAACCGGGGAGTGGAAATGAAGTAGAAGCCAATCCTCATGTTGTCCCCCAACCGATGATGTATCATGAACCATGGTGGCGAAATAACACATTCGGTGTGGTACCCCAAGCGAGACCTTCTGGAATTCCGTCGAATTCGTCTTCTTTGGAATGCCCAAATGGCTCAGAGTCTAACGATGTCCAGTCAGCGTCTGAAGATGGTGCACTGAATGGAGAAAATGTTGGGACTTATAAGGATCAAGCCGCCACTTCGTCACGATCAGGTAACTGTTTGATATATCATTCGGTAGCATCCAATTGGAGAATAATTGACTAAGTTGTCGTGAGCTAAATTTCTTGGAAGAAAATAAAGTAAAGGGTTTATCTATTATGCAATGTCTGTAGCATAGGGAGATTGTTCTGGATACTAATTAGGCATTTCGTGAAGAACCAATCCAAGATTAGGCAGGAACAATGGAAATGGTGATCTGGTGACTTCCAGCTTTGTAATCCATTTAAAAGTCATCAAGTCATGAAATTTAGATCATTAGATGTCATTGCACTGTAAAAGTTGAATTTGAGATGTTTGTATTGTTTCTTTTCTCTGTTGTTATACATGGCCTATTTCTTTTGTGTGTAATGTCTTTTGGATGCGATGCGAGTAACAGGTTCCTTATGAAGCTATTTACTTTTGTTCCATATATTTCTCACGGAAATGTAGCATTACATAGTTTTTGTAATAGAATCTGTTTCCAATTTGAGTAGAAAACCGTGGACAGGATGGGAATGAGTTGGGCCATATGTCATCATCTATGCCTGCCATGCGTGATCAGCAGCTTTCACAACCTCCAGAGCTTGTTGGACACTATATTGTAGGGTTTTTTTTCTCTATTTTATTATGTTAAAGATTTCTCCGATGATGTCCTTATTGATCATGCCTACTCCTGGTGGTTGAGTCAATCATAAGAAATGTTAGTGTTTACTATAAATATTGTAGCATACTTTTAGATGTGACTGTTATCTTGTTTATTATTCCATTTGCGGGATTGTGTCTCAAATGATCTTGTTTATTATTCCATTTGCAGGCTTGTGTCTCAAATCCATATCAGGATCCATATTATGGGGGAATGATGGGAGCATATGGTCATCAGCCATTGGTATATAAACTAAAACCCTCTCAATATTATTACAAAGAAGGATCCGATGGTTTCATATTATAGGACTTTTGCTGAATGAATGCAAACTCGTACTGTGGAATTGATTTAGATAAGTTAGATTTAGTGGTATATTGTCTGAGTTTGTACCTTGGGTAATCTGAACTAAACTTTAAGGGGGGCTCTTCTAGGTGTTCTTGCTTTTGCCTTGAAAGACAGCTCGGATTTTATCATTTTTGGCAGATTATGTCTAATTATTTCTTCTTTTTGCAGGGTTTTCCTCCATATATTGGGATGCCTGGGGAAAGGACTGCTTTGCTGCTTGACATGACACAAGAACCTGTTTATGTGAACGCGAAACAGTACGAGGGAATTCTAAGACGAAGAAAAGCCCGTGCTAAGGCAGAACTAGAAAGGAAAGCTATTAAAGACAGAAAGGTACTTTCCATTTCTTCAGTTGCTGGTTCTGGACCGGTTTAGACAATTGCTATCAAGTTGCTTATTAAAAACAGTATGGGCACCGTAGTTTATAGAAAACGCGCCGATGTAGGTTGTGATTAAGCATGTAGATCTTATCTTCCAGAAAATCTTTTAATAGGACCACGTTACTAGTTTCAGTGTGCTTGTGTCCTTTCTTGCTAGAGAGAATAAAGTGTTCTAGCTTCTATTAAGTCTGATGGCTTTTCTGTGTCCAATGATGATATTTTTTGTCGGGTATGGGAACTGATAATGCAAAACTTGTCTAGCCTGGTTAGTTTGGCTTCTTCATCTACTTAATTACGGTTGAGCTTTCTCTGCCTGTCTGTTCCAAATGCCGCAGCCATATCTTCACGAGTCAAGGCACCGGCATGCGATGAGAAGGCCAAGAGCAACTGGAGGACGGTTTGCCAAGAAATCCGAGGTCAACGGTGCTGCTGATAATGCATCAAGAGATAGAGTAACTGCATCTGCTCAATCCCAATCTACCACCAACTCATCGGGTTCTGAACCTGTTCAAACCAATCCTGTTGATACCCTGAATTCTTCAGGGGCAGCATAACCCAACCCGGCCTCCCTTCCAATAGGAGGAAGCACATCTTCTGCGAGGGGGACGGTGGCTTATATCTATCGCTTCCTGGCAAATCATTCTTGGCTTTTGGTTTTTCGATCTTTTTTTTTTCTTTTCAGGATACGATAGAGGGAAATTCACGCATGCTGATAATATACAAGCGGCTGTTGGCCAATGTAGTTGCTATAGGCTGCAGCCTCTGTTTCTATCAGTCACCTGTATTTGCAGATTGTACAGAAGAGAGAGTATTGAAAACATAGGTTTAAGTCTCCATTTCGAGTCTAGAAGAGTGTTATACTGATTGAGTTTATGTGTTATTACTTTTTTATGTTCCAACTCTTTTCATTACGTGTGGCGTTTGAAGCTATTATACATTTCTCTTGCCTGAAAAATCCCAGAGAATGTGGTACTAGTCACGATTGTATAGTTAGAAAAAATTTCCATCGTAATCCGTGAGAGCTGAACCAGACAGATCCTGTTCTAGTTCATCGTCTTCGTTCTGTACTTGGGTTTTTGCCTTAAGGATGATGTGGTGACGCACTACTTGATCTTTCTTCTCGAACCCTGTTATCATCCTCATCGGATTGATTCTGTGCCTGTAAGATCCGGCGGATCCACATGTTCAGAACCTGACTGGTGGTTCCTGTCCGAAGAAGAATCTGTTGGTTCGGTTGCATTTACTACAACAGGCTCCTCGTCCTCCGGCTGCTTCTCCATCATCCCTGACAGTGCTAGCTTGGGAGACCACTCGAGTACATCGTCTATGATGTTCGACATTCGCTTATGATATCTGCAAAAAACACACACACACACACTCCGATGCATCAGACAAAAACATGATCTTGATCTTTCTTATGTGGTTAGCAAGGCATCCGCTATTATTTTATAGGGCTAGGTGCAGGTACTCAAGACTCTGCGGGTTTTCGGATACCCGGTCCTTGCGGTTATCCGGCCATCAACCAAGCCGAGAACGGATGCGGCAAGGCCAAGAACCCAGACCGCAGTTTAGGTTCGGGTGGAAGTAAAATTATGTTTATATCCTACTATTTAATGTACTTACAAATTACAACAATATTTAGGATTACTTTTGAAAAATTACAAATGTACCCCATAATCCACGTAAATCCTTAAAATTTCCACGGACTTGTGTACCCGACTTTTAGCCACTAATACATGGGTAGGTATCCAGATCCTGCGAGATTGAGACAATGTCCCAAAAAACCTGTGGGACGAGGCTGAGACAGGTACCAACTTTCGGGTACTTGACCCGTATCCACCCCTAGTATTGCATGAGAGGGAGAGAGATGAGATGGATAGAGAGTGAGTACTGACCTCGCTCTGGCAGCCTCATCGGGAGCATGGTGCCTGAGTAACAAAATGACCACTACAGCTACGACGGCGTAGAAAATCCGTGATGTCCATTTTGGAGGCTCTTCTTCGTCTCTCTTTGGCCAGAAACGGAAAAGCTCCTGAAGCGTTGCTTCTTCCGCCAGAATGTTGGGGAAGAACCAAACCCTCTTTCCAAGAAGGATCCATACGGCGCCAAACACCATTGCTCGCACTGAATCACCATCACGAGGTTAAAAGGACGAGAAATGAGAAGGGTTCGCTTGATAGTACAACTAAAATGTCTGGTATGGACCAAGATTTGGCATGGAATGCCTTACACAAAAGAAAAGTCAGTATCATGAGGAGGATGCCGGCACATGAATATAGTATCAGTAGTTTGCACCGATGTGGATAGATAGGAAACAAGCAGATCGCGAGGGTTAGTACAGGCCAGAAGAACGAGAGAAGCGTTTGCCATAAAGGGTGTCTTCTAATGAACGTCCACGCGAAAAAGGCATCATTTTCGGAGAAAACTTGATCCTGCAACCAGTTCACAATCCAAAAAAAACAATCATTATCATTTGTTTCTTGGCTTGAGAGATGTTAGAGGGGATCAGAAAAGAAGATGGCTTACAGAGAAGATCTCCAAATGAGCAGGCCAAGTAGATAACTTTTTCTTTCCGGGACGAATGGTTTTCACAACACGATCACACCTAACCAGAAGATTCTTCCTCACCAAAGCATTGGCTATGTCTTCTGCATCGAGATTCCTGTCTGATTCCAAGATATCTTTCAGCTCGGGGTGTTTCTTCAAGAATCTTACAAAGTCCTTTCCTCTGAAATACTCGACTCGTGTTTCCTGTAACACGGCCCACCTTGATTCCAGATCCTTGTGGTCCCTTACCCTCTCAGCAAACAACTGGAAAACGTCTTTCTTTGGAGCTTGTTTCTGGAAACACGAGCAGACAAGATCAGAGGAAAGAAGAGCGATAACTCTAGACTCAGCAACCAAAGGTTAAACAGGATGAAACACGAAAAGCTATCCAGAATAATTCTCGGGAATGGGTAGCTCACGGAAACAAAACCCATCTTCACAAGATCTAATGATCATAAATTGCAATACAATTGTTAACTACCAATCACAAAACCCATCACTATAAGAAAAGGGCAGACGCAACACAATAAGTAGAGCTGCAAACAGAACATTAAGACTGCCATGATAAGATAATTAAAGAACAGAACATCTATGAGCTGCAAATTCAAAATACTAGTTCAAGCTCTTTGCCACCACTTCTAGACAATCTTCGTAGTATCGGCAAACCGATGAGAAATTTTAGGGCTTTTAAGAGACAGAAACTCACTTGTCCCCTAAGCCATAGTTCAACTCCTGAAATGTTAATTTCGGTGTTCTCATAATTTTTTGGCCCATTTGATCAAGTCTCTCGAACCATTGTTTTCCTTCTCTCTCTCCAATACACAATGGAAGTTTCAAAGTACAATTCCAACTGACAAAAAGCATGATGAATTTGCGGAGAGACTAGAGAATTCCATGAAAGCATCTCCCAAATTCAACCACAATTCCAAATCATTGGGAAAAAAAAACGCAATAGTAAAATCCAGATCATATAACCGCAAGAAGAGACAAACAACGAGCAAACCCAAAGAGGAAAAGGAACACGAAGAGACCAAACCCTAGGAGGGTTGTCGGCGACGGGACCTCTGGGGCCATTCTGTACGGAACCTCCCGTCGATCTTCTCACTTTCTTCTTCTCAGCTCCTCCCGACTTCTTCATTTCTCTCTCTCTCTCGCCTGAGTTTCGTTGTTTGAGATTATTTTTTCTCTTACGCCCTGCGACTCTGCGAGGAATGTCCGAGCAACCGGCGAGGAGGACGCGTCGATGTCATCATGTCGAAGCGCACAGGTTTAGGGTCAATGATATGAGCTGCATATCTTGACCAATCATATCATGCCACGTGGGATTGGATCCCTACCCCCTCCAATTTAAATCGTACATACACACACTATCATCTACGCAGTATTACAGTCACACTGGGTAAAGCATTGTACATTTTCATTTCACCAATTAAAATGATAATTAATGTATTAAATAATAAATATATAATCTTAAAAGCAACGTAATTGTCTCGCGGATGGTCAGTCCATTTCATGAATATAATAATTGCACCTTGACTCTTACCTCTCATTAAAATTTTTGGACCAATAACCATAATTTTTTGCTTTAAACGCACACTTCTAAAAATTTTATAATGAACTTTTCATCGACAGTTGTTATCACCATCGAATAGACAGAATTTATTACAATTTTCTAGTTATTAGATTAAATTTTTATTGTAAAATTAGATTAAATTGGAGGGGATAAAATTTACATAAAATTCATAGACAAATAAAATTTGAATTAAGTAGATGTTAAGCTGACAAACAATAGAAAAATTTCCATATGCATATATTGTAGAATTTTTATTTTCATTAGACAACTGCGATAATTAATTGTTTTTCACGCAGTAAAAATATTTAACTATTTCAATTACTCGTTTTAGTCAGTGATTGTTTTACCGTTTTATATTTCCATTTAAATGGAAACACATATCTACCTTTTTCAGTCTTCAAAAGTACCAAGACGTGATAAAATATGTCTACAATGTAATTAATTTATCTAATTTTAATTCTATTTGATATTTTAATTCAATAACATTTAGCTTTCATAAAAAAATATTTCTAAAGTTTATTATTATTTTATATTCAATTTAGATTAATTACTTTAATTCAAAAATTAAAACTATAACAAAATACTCGATTTTGTTTATAAAAAAAATACTCGATTTTGTTATTGTGGTATTGGTTTAGATTCTGGTAGATATTGTTTTATTAAATTTGTTTGTGCGTCAGCTTTATATATCTAAATCGATACGTGTGTATATATATATATAATTCAACTGACAAATTTGTATTTTCTTACACATATTGTGTATATTATATGGTTAAACACATCGTCGCATATTTTATGAACTTTTGTTGAACTATAAGCATTCTATGTTTCTTAACAGATAAAAAAAACTAACGAATTTTTTGAAAAACAATAATCTTCTAAGTTTTTTTGGAAAATATGGTATTAAAGAATTCAGAAAATACAAGAAAAAGTATATAATAATATAAATAACCATTTAAATAATGTGATCAAACTAGGGGAATCCCATGTCAGCCCATGAAAAAAGGAATCCCGTGTAAGACAAAATGTTAATGATTTTAAATTGCTTTTGTAGATCCATAATAATTAATTAGGTTCATATATAATAATATAAATAATATGACTAAACAAGCTAAAAGGGTAAATTGGATCCTATTAAGCCGACAAAATTATTATAATTAAGTGATTCAATTTCGTAATCATAGTCACAACTAGATTTGATACATTGGTACATTATATATATATAATATTAATATTATTACGTCCTACTTATGAAAGATTACAAATCAAATCTTAACATCAAAAACCATATTTTGGATAAATTTGAAAAACAAAATTTCAATAAAACAAATTAGTGCAATATTTAATAATTTATTGGCCGGCCAAAAAGAAAGAGGCACATCACATCAATGGCTGAATTATGCAGCACGTAGGGTTGGGAATTTATCGATTTATAGTCAGTCTCGATTATTTCACTTGGATTTGCGTTTCTATTTTTTTTTTAAAACTATTTATATTTAGTTTTTTTCTTTCAATTTTGATTTTGCTCAGAATTTTTGACATATACTTTTATTAAACAAACTGGTTTTAATTTTCTTTTCACTAATTTTAGTAATTTTGTATTGGAATTTTTTTAATTAATTTAGACGTAACAAAATGTATACCCAACAGAATAAAAAAAAAGTGCATAACCTTTTTTAAACTAGTTTTATCTATATTATTAGTTGGAGAATAAAATTCATTTTATAAAATTTTATCATTCTTGGTAAATTATAATATATTTATGTTAATGAAGTAGGCCATCTCAATCATTTAACACAATGAAAGATTTTTGAATCGTGAAGAAACCGTCACTTTGAACAACACCGAGTTGAAATCAATTGCTTTTTCGTTTATGAAGATGAATTCCGCACTAAAAAGATATATTTTTATTAGCTAATACCAACAATCAACATTGAGAGGGGGTTTTTACCCAAATAACCCACTTGGATCGTAGTTATTTCAGCGTACACCACCGAAATTTTTTTTTTTTCAATTTTAACCCACTTTTCGGTTGAAAAAATCCGAAATACCCTTTTCGTTTTATTTTTTGCGACCTTATTATGACTAATATATAAGTGATATACAACTAAAATAAGACAGATAATTTTTTTGCCACTTTTTTTAGAATCAATTGTAACTATATTTAGAATTAATTACGAAGTCATAATAACGAAGTTGTTTTCGAACGGATAAATATCGTGTATTCATTAAGGGTAATTTCATCTTTTCAAAGGAAAAAAATGTGTTATGTTTTTGGTGGTGTACACGTGAAATAGATGCGAACCAAGTGAGTCATTTGAGTGATTCTACCGTTGAGAGCCAAAGTTTTTATTCGAAAGAATCAGAAAAAAAAAAAGAAAAAAAAAAAGAGAGAGCACTGTGATCCTGAGAGTGTCTCGTGCTTGGGCGTCATCCTTTTGAATCCAACAAGATAGAGAGAAAAAAAAAAAGAAAAAGAAAAAGAGAGCAACTTTGGGTTTCATTTTGGTCAGAGAGAGAGAAAGTGAGAGACTTTGACTCTTCTCCTTCTTCGCTCTCTCTCTCTCCATTTGTTTCTCGCACCCGTCTGATGACCTTTTGCATTGAATTTATCGTTCCACATTTCCCAGTTTCTGCCACTCGTTACTCGCCCGATAAAAGATCTCTCTCCCTCTCTTGTGGGTTGAAAAGCCTTTTGAGGGTCTCAGGTTTGTGGTTGGATCATCTGTGGTTTGCATCAGCTCAGTTTCTTTACTAGGGTTTACTTCCCTGTCCTTGAATCTTTTAGGGTTCTGCCTAATTTCGGGTATTTCATTTGGTTAAACCCACATTTTTTAATCTGTTTCTTAATCAGTTCGAATTTGTTTCCTTTTCCTATTGGGTTTGGTGGGAACCTTGATTTCTTGGGTGCTTGCTGGGAACTGTTTCTAGGCAAAGTATGGAACTTTCTTTGGAGATTAGTGGTAAAGCTCGGAACTTCTGATTGGTAGATCAAATCTACGATTAATTCGTTTTTGGTATTTGGGTCTTTGATGAAATCTCAGGAGGCTTTGGAGTATCCTCAGGTTCGATTAGATTAGATGGGGAATTGTTGTGGAAGCCCGGGTTCTGCACCTGGTAACAAACAGGGGAAACCCAAGAACAAGAACAACCCTTTTTACAACGAGGAATACGCTGCAGCAAATGGATCTGGAGCTGGATTCAAGCTCTCTGTGTTGAAAGACCCGACGGGTCATGATATATCCGGGATATACGATCTCGGGCGTGAACTTGGTCGGGGCGAGTTCGGTATCACGTACCTGTGTACCGATATCAGAACGGGTGAAAAATATGCGTGCAAGTCTATATCGAAGAAGAAGCTTAGGACGGCTGTGGATATAGAGGATGTGAGGAGGGAGGTAGAGATAATGAGGCATATGCCTAAGCATGCGAACATCGTCTCATTAAAAGATACCTTTGAGGATGATGATGCAGTGCATATAGTTATGGAGTTGTGCGAGGGAGGGGAACTGTTTGATCGGATCGTTGCTAGAGGCCATTATACTGAACGGGCTGCCGCAGCTGTTATGAAGACTATCGTCGAAGTTGTTCAGGTTTGTCGTTGAACTTCTGTATATCTACCGTAGGTCTTAAATTCCTATATATTTGCATGTATGTTCATTGAATTCGGTATGGAACTAGATCAGTTTTCCTAGTATCAGTCGGTCTGCTTGTTCATCGGTGCTCTACAAGTTGCCAGTGTTAAGATTATTACCTCTTTTTCTGTCACAAGTTGCCCTGTTTGTATTTGTCTTTATTCATTGGTTTGTCCTTTACTCTCTTATGCTTTTCAACAGTGACATATGTTCTTCTGACTATTTTCTTTCATGTTTTGATGCAATTTTTGATGCAGATGTGCCATAAGCATGGAGTCATGCATCGGGATCTTAAACCGGAGAACTTTCTGTTTGCAAATAAAAAGGAGACATCGGCCCTTAAGGCCATAGATTTTGGATTATCCATTTTCTTTAAACCCGGTAAGCAAATAATATCATAGCCACTGTATGTGTATCTTAGATTTCTGCAGGTACTTTGTTATGTCTGTTATTGTGGGCCAAACATGAGTCATTGCATTAAATTGCTCATCTTTTTCCCTAATTGCAACTTTACCGTACCTGAATGTGCATAATTTTAACAGGTGAGCGATTTAATGAGATTGTTGGAAGTCCTTATTACATGGCACCAGAGGTGCTTCGGCGAAATTATGGACCTGAAGTTGATGTCTGGAGTGCAGGAGTTATCCTTTACATCTTGCTTTGTGGTGTCCCACCTTTTTGGGCCGGTTTGTTATGCCTTTACCTTACTCACCTTGTTCATGTACTTGCTTTGTTATGAAACAGTGATCTTCTGTATTTGTTATCACTGACTATTTGGTTTTAGTTGCAATGGATAATATGAAAGATTTACTTCAGAACTGGGTTCTTGCCCTCTATGAAAAATGATTTGCCATTCATTTACCAGTTCTTGGATTTAGTAGTGACATCTCATTTATGTTTTGGTTTGTGTTTCGTGAAGAGACCGAGCAAGGGGTGGCTCAGGCGATCATTAGGTCAGTAATTGACTTTAAGAGGGATCCATGGCCAAGAGTTTCTGAAAGCGCCAAAGATCTCGTGAGGAAGATGCTTGAACCTGACCCGAAAAAGCGGCTTTCTGCTTCAGAAGTACTCGGTAGGTTTCCATTTCCAGCATAAGTTTTTATCGTTTTTAATTTATTGCTCATACGCCAATAAACTGTCACTTGTACATTTGCAGAACATCCGTGGATAGTAAACGCGAAGAAAGCTCCAAATGTCTCCCTCGGGGAGACTGTGAAAGCGAGGCTCAAACAATTTTCTGTCATGAACAAGCTCAAGAAACGAGCTCTACGGGTATAGTTTAGCGTGTTATTTCTCTCGGGTCTTCCTCGATTTTATGGATGAGCAAAAGTTTTGAACATGGTTTCATACTTTTAGGTGATAGCCGAGCATTTGTCGGTGGAGGAAGTGGCTGGCATAAAAGAGGCATTTGACATGATGGATACTAACAAGAAGGGCAAGATAAACCTAGAGGAGCTTAGATATGGACTTCAAAAACTCGGTCAACAAATCTCTGATGCAGATCTTCAGATTCTGATGGAATCCGTGAGGATTATCTTCCCTTTCAATCCAAAACCTTCTTGTTCGAGCTTTCAGAATGTTGAATTCGTTAACGCATTCAAAGAGATGGAATTCAAGATTTAGCTTGAAATTGTTTTTTTTTTTTTTTTTTTTTTTTTTTCCTAGGACC